AAATCCAGAGAATTGTCCGCTATTGGTATTTGGTAGAACGATAAGGTGTGAGCCAGAATCAAAATTCAGTGTACCTTGTTTCATATGTAGTAGATCGGTTTACTATGAACTACACAGTCCGCAAGGTTTTTCCCACCCAAACAATTGGTCTATTTTACCAATTGGGGTTTCCTCGGTGTCATCTCTAATTCTTACTTCGCTTTAATTTTTTTTTTTTTTGTATGTGATTAATTATTTAATTATTAAAATAAGTAAAAGATTAGAAAGACATATATATATTTCTAAAAATATAAAACTTTCTAAATATTTCGCTGCGTATAACTCAAATGTATATTCCAACACAAAACTTAGGGATGACAATTTCCGAATTAACTTAGGGATGACAATTTCCTCCAATCCGGCGGATTTTCACCCGCCCCTAATGGGGCGGATTTGGTAGCCCCCTAAATAGATTTGGGGCGGGTATGGTAATATAATTGAAAATCTGAAACGAGTTTGGGGTGAGGGGGGATTTAGTGATGAGCCCGCCCAAACTATATATGTATCTTTAAATTTTTTTATATATATAAAATATATATTTAATTTTTGAAATAATCTTGTTATTTTGCTAGAAGTATTAGTTAATATATTAATACTTCCTACTTAATTAGTAATTTAAAAGTTTGGCCAACTTATTTATCAGCCCAATTTAAACACTTGGACTACTTTTTTTTAAAAAAACATAATAAAAGTGACATAACCTACCTCGCCCTGCAATTAAATGGAATACGTGAGGGCAGGGTCAGTATTTTGTTTAATGGAGTAGGAGCGGATATGGTATATTAATTACACACTTGTTCCGAAATAGGAGCGGATATGGTATATTAATTACACACTTATTCCGAAATTGGAGTGGAGTTGGTATAACGAATTTTCTAACGAAACGGAGTAGGGTTTAGTCAAACCCACTTCAACTCCGTCTTGCTGCCATCCCTAACAAAACCCCTCCCCAGTGAATTGAAATTCTAGGAAAGATTAAATGCCTCTACTAAACTAAAGCTTGAATCTCTAAAACATTCATTTTGGAGAGTAAGAGTGGATACCATGAGGTCATTTGGCCCTTTAATAATAAGATCTAGTTTTGATCGCTAAAATGACACTTCTGTACAGTTGCAATCTAAATGGCCTTCTTATAAATGAGATGGGGCAAACCTTAAAGTCACGATAAGGTTATCCATGACAATTTGGAGGTCAAAGTTTGAAATATAAAATAGTTAAAGGTTTGAAATATAATATAATTTTTTCTTTTGAGAAAGACTTTTATGTACTGGTGATACCGATATTAACTAATTATATTATTGCCACATAAAAAAAAAAAATTTATTTATTTAGTTAATTTTATTATCACGTGTCAGTTTTTAATTAATTAGTGATATGATGTCATCAAATATATAATTTTTTTTTCTTTTTCATCGCGTGTAAGAATGTATATTTAACTCTTTCCCGATTCACAATGCCAGGAATTTCATGTACTGGGTTAGATATTTTTTAAAAACGACAAAATTACTCATCAAATAAATAGTACGTAATGATGTGTGTGTATATTGTTGATGCCAAAAATCTACACGCTCCGGAGTCTGTGACAATTCTTGCAAGACAAGAAAAGTGATGACCGGCGTGGTGCCGGCGGGTGCACTCCGACGGTCAAGTTAGTACTCGACGATTAAATATCCGATAAGGATTCAATATGAAATTTACGGTGTACCTTTTTAGGTTGACTGATCCTTTCTTTTATAAAAGCATTAATGGTAGTAGTTTTTCAAGCGAGATTCTCCTTGATCCAAGATAATAATATCGTTCCCTTCTTACAGGAATGGTAACTCTGGTTACATATGGTATTATGATTCCATGGAGATTTTGGGTAAGATATATCCCTTACCCTTATCTTATTTCTCTTTTGACTTTGAGCTGCCTATTATTTTTATCCTTATCAGTTGCCCCCATTCTCGTGCTTGCTTGTCAAGTATCGAGAATGTCAAAAGTGTTTTTTTGAGTGACGTCTCTTTGGCATAAATCAATCTCTTTTTTAGGTTAACCCTTGTTGGGCGACCTTTTTTGGTTGATCTCTTAAGATTTGTTCGAACTTCATGAGTTGAGGGAGTAGGCTTTCTTTAACCTGAATGAGCTTACCTTTTAAAGAAAAGAAGTATATTTACGAGCTTTACTCAGCTCGTCCTTTAAAAAGGAAAATATATTTTACGAGCTTCATTCAGCTCGCCCTTTAAAAAGGGAAGTATATTTTACAAGTTGATTTCAACCCCTTTTAATATGGAGGACAACAATTACGAGCTTTATTCAGCTCGGGCCCTTATAGTACGGGGCACTTTTATATCAATCCCTTATAATAGGGGGATGGTAATTACGAGTTTCATTCAACTCGCCCTTTAAAAAGGAAAATATATTTTACGAGCTTCACCTAGCTCGCCCTTTAAAAAGGGAAGTATATTTTACAAGTTGATTTCGACCCCTTTTAATACGGAAGACAACAATTACGAGCTTCATTCAGTTCGAGCCCTTATAGTACGGGGCGCTTTTATATGAATCCCTTATAATACGGGGAATGACAATTACGAGCTTCATGAACTTATCCTTTTAATATGGGAGGTTCATCCTCATGAGTAACTGATTTTCTAGAGTTTCGTGAGCTCGTTTCTTTAATAAGAGAGGTTAACTTTCTGCCCCCATTCCCAAGCTTGCCTCTCGCGTACAAGGAACACTAATGTTCTCTTTCTATTTGCAAAGTTAGCAAAGCAAAAATAAAAAAACAGATGTCCAGTTTGAACGGATAATATATATACATATTTATATATATCAGAATAGGTACAATTAAGACAAACACTTATCATTGAGCATCATAGGACCAAAATCATCAATGGAGCTAACGATTGTTCTCTAGAATAAGAAACTTTTTTTTTTTTTTTAAACCCTGTGAACAGTACCAGCGGGTACTATTCATGTGAATAGTACTTACAAAATAATTTTTTTTTTTACACCCTGTGAACAGTACCCACATTTTTTTTTTTTTTTTTTGTGAACAATACCCTCAAAGCGTAGTATTTTATCGGAGGGTCCCCAGGTGAACTACATCATTATGTAGGTGAACAATATTTTGCAGACAATTGGAAACACATAAAAAATTGTTTCTCTTTAAATCATGTGAGGAAGTGTATACATATATTTTGATATACGCGTAATGCATGAAACTTACCCGGTTAACAACGATGATGAAACAACTGCTAGCGGTCGGGCGGGACTTTCTAGCAATTTTACCGGATTGAGCAACTGTACCCTTACTTTTGGCCATGCAATCCATGAACTGTTCTCTTTCTTTTAGAGAAAGCCAGATTGTAAAGGGACTGAATTGTTTTTAAGTTTTGTCGTAGATTTCCCTTGTACGAACTATAATTTGTTGGGACTAATATACGTTCCCACAGACGGCGCCAACTGTTGATGCCAAAAATCTACACGCTCCGGAGTCTGTAACAATTCCTGCAAGACAAGAGAAGTGATGACCGGCGTGATGCCGGCGGGTGCACTCCGACGGTCAAGTTAGTACTCGACGATTAAATATGCGATAAGGATTCAATATGAAATTTACGGCGTACCTTTTTAGGTTGACTGATCCTTTCTTTTATAAAAACATTAATGGTAGTAGTTTTTCAAGCGAGATTCTCCTTGATCCAAGATGATATCGTTCCCTTCTTACAGGAATGGTAACTCTGGTTACATATGGTATTATGATTCCATGTAGATTTTGGGCAAGATATATCCCTTACCCTTATCTTATTTCTCTTTTGACTTTGAGCTGCCTATTATTTTTATCCTTATCATATATTATTATTATTATTATTATTATTATTATTATTATTTTTATTTTGATAATTTTGGATTGAATGTGCTTTCCAAAGATAACTGTCATTTCCTTTTTCTAAAACAAGACAAGTGGACTCCAAAAATAGTGAAATAGAATGGAGCTATATATATATATATATTTGTTACTAAATTATTATAATTTTCTAAGACTAAAAGCATTTGAGATGAGGTGCCTTTATGATCACTACTGAAAGGTATAAAAGGAAATTAAAAATAAAATTGAGTGAGCCTCATTTCATTTGGCTCCATCCTTGGGGTCCAGATGGAGAGATTGACTAATAAATTTTTAATCATGAATCATTATTTTGTACAATAAGAGGAAAAAAGATTTTGTGAAGGCATTATTAAATAGTGTAAAAGCAATCAATCCAAAAGAAAAAGTGCCTAAATTATTTACCTAAAAAAAAAAAAGTGCCTAAATTGATTGTTCATAGTCTTTATTATATGATCTTATCTTCAGCCCATAAAAGGCAAAAGAAAAAGACATTAATGGTAGTATTTTCGGTGCACACAAGGTCTTACATGCCAAATTCAATTTAAAATGTGCATGTCAATTGAGATATACAACTGTGGATAAGTTTCAAAAAATTTACCCCGTTTTTGCAACCTAACCTAACCTTTTTAAAGTTGTATATGATATTTTTTTTTGTTTTGTTTGTTTGAAGGCAAGAATGTTGACTATAAGTTAGAAATGTAAAGATTAGAAGTCGAGTTTTCTAACACAATGGGAAGCAACCCAACTGCTGGGCTACGATGCCGTTCACAAGTTTTAGATGGCATGTGAAGTATATAAATTTAAATAAAAAACAAAAAACAAAAAACAAAAATAATGCTACTCAATTTGGATTGAGGTTAGATTGAAAAACTTCAATTGAGTTGTTCAAATAAATGATCCATGATTGGTAAATGAGGAAAACATTAAGGGCAAATTTGCCAATGAAAAATTTAGAAAAGAAAAATCAAACAAGAATTTTACAACACATAAGGATAGGACTGTAATTTAAGTTAAAAAATTGGAAAAAATAGTTGCCGCGTAAATGTTAGAACACTGACCAGGTCCTCCATTATAAATATCGCCGTCGAAGACCCCCGCTCCCCACAATAACTCTCTCTCCTTTTCTCTCAAGTTCTTCACTTTCCCAAGAATTTTTTTTTTTTTTTTCCAGCCGTCCACTAGATTCCCGGAAACAGAATTCTCTGTCTCAAAACACTACCATGAAGAAATCAGGACTCTTCGCCGCGTCCGCTGCCGCCGCAGCATCTGCCATCTCCGCTTCTTCCTCCTCCCCCAATTCCAAGATTCAGATTTCTTGCGAGGTAAATTCTTGTTTCCCTTCTCGATTTCAGGTGGAATTGAATCTTTCGAGCGGTAATACTGTTTGGTTGCCGAGAAAATAAGTAAACAACAATTGGGGTTTTTATTAGCAGAACCCTCTATTTCCCACCAAAGTCCGTTCTCGTCAATTTCCCATCTTTAGACCATTTTTTCCCTCTGGTTTCGCGGGCACCAAACAGAGATCTGACTTTGAAGACAAAACCTAATTCTCTTTTCGCAGCTTAAACTTTCAATTTTAAGTGAGTTCCTTTCTGGGATTCCAATTTTCTTATTCAACAATTGGATCGAATTCCTGGAATTCGATTTTGCAGATCATTAAATTTTCTTTCACACCTGAGTTTAATTTTTGTAATAACAACTAATTTTGTACTCTTTGTGTTTGATTTTCAGGAGACAATCTCGAGAAAAAGTAATGAAAACAGCTCTTCTTCTTCGGAGAAGTTTGCACCCAGGTTCGATGGGTTGAGGTTTATTGAAACACTGATCACTGCTCACAGATAAATCCTGATTTTCAAGGGCCACAATGATTTTTAGGCTAATCTTATTTATTTTCTTAAATTTAGTGTTCACAAAACTGATACTTGCGAAGTCATTTACAATGTGTTATAGAGAGAGAGAGAGAGAGAGAGATTGTACTGCAGGATCTGGGATGAATTGTTTTTATCAGATCTCTGAGTTTTTTTTTTTTTCTTCAACTTCATTTTTATTTTAAATAAAAAATCTGTGTACTTTTGAGTTGTCACGTGTCAGAAGATTATTGTTTGATCTCCTTCCAGATGGATCAATAATAAAGCGTTGCCTTTCCTATTGAGTTCCAACGGATTTGTCTGACTAATTTTATGTATTTTAAAAATATTAATGACATCTAAAATTCAAATAAGAGGACTAACACAAATTCTGTTTGCAGTTTTAACACAATCTATCTCAAATTAGAATTGCTTCAACATATTTGTTATGTTTAGGGCATTGAATTTTAAATTTGAAAAACAAAAAATATACAATATCTTCAATTTAGAATTCAAAAAAAATGGAGTCATGGCGCCAATTAAAAAATATGGCTAAATATGTTTTTTCTGCCAAATTTTATAATTTTAGGATCTCATTTTTAAGTTTGGAAGTTTGTTAGTGATTGAAGAGAAAAGTAAAAAAATAGAATAAAAAACTTTAAAATAAGATAAAATAAAAGATAAGCTAAATTCGATCTTAACTCGATTACTAACCAACTTTCAAACGTAACAATGAGGTTCTAAAATTATAAAATTTGATGGAAAAACCATACTTATGTTCTACAATTTTTTCCATGTCGGATTGTGTTGTACTTTGTAATCATTTTTGTCACCACATAAAAAGTTAAAATGCACCATCACTAAAACAAAGAAATCATTGTTCAGTGGTAAAAGATTTGCATTCAGCACCTAGTCAGCTAGGCATATTCATTAGTTGAATTTGGAAAGATGGAAATTGAGATCATGACTTCACGATGAGTGAAAAAGAAAGTGACACGCATAATTCAAAGTTTTTTCTTTTATTTAATTTATTTTTTGTATTTTCACTTTTTTGAGCCCATTTGGTGACAAAGTTATTTTGTGCTTTTACTTTAATCCGAAACCGAAATAATATTTCTACTTTTAGAATGCGTTCAATATTATTTAGAAACTTGTTGATAATATAAATTTGTTATAAGATTTTTAGAAATAAAAATATGAAAGCATATATCGTAAAAAGTATTACAAGTTTGAAAATTTGAATGGTTAATTAAAAATGTTATTTAATTTAATTTTTTTTAATGAACAGTGCTTTGCTATAGTGCAGAAGTAAATAAAACTATAATTTTGATACTTCCGATTTTGACCTTAATTTTGGAAGCGCTTCGATACTATTTAAAAACATAACAAATATTACTAAACATGCTTCGTACTTTTGGTTTGTTATAATACGCTAACAAAAGTAAAAAAAAAGTCACGAAATAAAAACACTCTCCAAACAGACCCTAATTGTACAATCATTTTTATTGCGTGATTAGAACATTTTAGAAAGTAAGAGAACATTTTAAAAAGTGAGAGAATGTATTTTATTTATTTTTGGAAAGAGTTCTTGTTAAACCATAGCCATTGAAGTCACTACCAAAAAAAAAAAAAATTGAAGTAATACTGTTTCTTTATATGATGGTATTTCTCTTTTCTTTTATGTGGTTCTACTTTTTCTTTACCAATTAACGAGAAAAAAAAAAAAAAAAAATTAGAAAGATAAGTAAATTTGTACGAGTCAAATGGGCGTATGTGTCAAAATGAGCAAATAATAGCGTGCAAATTGGGCTTTCACATGCATTGTAGTGTGAAATCCCGCACAAAGATGCTCCACTAGCATAACTTGTGGTATTTAACTTTATGGTTGATAGCACCTTTAAATTTCTCTTTTTGGAATATTTTCATTCACATATCAAATCCTACGTGGCTTTGCACTTCCACTTGTTTTTTTTTTTTTTCTTCCTCTTTTAGTCTTTCGGTAAAGGATATTCCTTAGAGACCTTTTAATGCACCTTTTTCTCTAGGACCATTTACGCCACTATCACGACTTTGTAACTCAAAGCAAGGCGGATCTAGAACTTTAGAGAAGGGAGCAAGAATAAAATATTGTAATAATTTAAGGAAGAATATTAGCAATATTTTAAAAAGTATATATCAAAAAAAAAATAACATGATATGTTAATAAAAAATTAAAAATTCAGAGAGGAGAATTACCCCCCTCACTTGTTACTAGGTCCGTTCTTGACTCAACCACTATGTCATTTTAGCACATATATATAACACACATATATAACACACACACACACACACACACACAATTATATATTGTGGATTAAAATTGGTGCTAATTGCCATCACAAGCACTCTTCTATTAGATTACCACTACCACAAACAATCACTTTCCTTGCTTTGGCATTCAATGGCTGACCTAAACAACAATGGTTTGCTCTCCTTTTCTCCAATAACTGCAAATAATATTCATTGGTGGGAACTAGAAGAAAACGCATCAGTGAGAAAAAGTGGTAGTAGCAAAGAATAATATTCATTTTTTTTTTTTAGGGAAGTACTATTTGGTAAGTCGATTTGTCAACTCTTTTGTTTAGTCTAAGAGTTTATACCCTTGTGATGCAGTGGATGGAACTCACACCCGAACTTATTCATTATATTAAATGAAAGACTTTTGCGTTAAGCAAATAAGTCTAAACACTTTTGCGTTAAACAAATAAGCCTAAACAACATTACTCTTTTAGCAATTGCTTGTGCACACTAACCACCTGAGTATAGGAACAACATTTTCAAGTAGGTATATACCCCATTGGAATAACCTTACTTTCGGTACCAACTCACAAGGACAGGGACATATCCAATTTTGTAGACTTTGCCAAACATGCCATATGGTGATGTTGAGCACTTTATAAAAGGAAAATGAAATATGCTTTTGTGGACTAATAATAATTGACCTTGTCTATATCTCAATCAATCCAGATGTCAAATTACCATAATACCTCCCCTTTTTTTCTTAATTGCATTTTTTTTTTTTTTTTTAATGGGCAAAAAATGTTAGAAGTTAGATTAATAGATGCAGAGAGTCAAAGCCTGACACTCAAAAGTCCACCGGAGGCACTAACTCACTGGCCAATGAGGCCAGTGAAGCAACATCTTGTTTTGCTCATAATGCTGCATTTTTTAGGCAAAATATGCAAACCCTATAACATAGGATAATATGTTCAAATCTCAACATTTGCTACAAGTTGTACCTCTACTTTCTCATCTGCTATTTATAATGTCAGGGTTTTAGTTGCACCGACAAGCATCGACCTAATTTTTCTAGCAGAGACCTGGTCACCTTTTAATAGAAGGTTTGGAAATTTAAATTTGAAATTGTTGTTGGAATCAAATCCTTTTGGAATTCGGATTTGAATTTTGGTTATATATCATATGATCGATCCAGAACAATCCCTCTACCTACCAGTCTGAGGCCACAAGAAAAACATGCCAGTAATTAATCGGGTAAATCATGTGTACAACAATGACCATTTACTGAAAAAAAAAAAAAAATGAATAGTTTACACCATTGACAATAATTTAATAAATCCATTACTATAAAAGGCAATGCAAGTCCAAGTCAATGCACATTGCATAAAAAAGCCAAATTACATTGTTCCATTGTTATATCAAAATTACATCTGAATATGCAACCACCAAAGTAGTATAACTGCATCTCAAAATGGAGGGTGAGAATTCAAGTCCTTAGGAAAAATTATAATAAAAATGCATGTCTATGATGTAAACAATCAAATTAGAACTAAAACCAAATCTATTAGTTCACAAAACAAGCTGCTACAACAGAAGCCTTCTGTCAGCAGGTCCTGCATGTATAGAATTCTGTTATTTTTTGAATGTTTTGCAACTCATTTGCTTCATGTGCTTCCTTCTGTATGAAAAAATTGTGAATGTGGCTGAATTTATCCAATACAATCGCAAATCAGCAGGGAGGAGAGAGAGAGAATGAAGGGATAGATCTCAAAAAATTCATCACTAAAACATAATATTCTCAGTTGCCTGTTAACAGATGTCTTTCCTTACGAGTGATGGACCTGCCCATGCGGAGGCGCCGACCTGTAAGTGCTTCTAACAAAACCGCTAAAGCATCCTCTATTGCTTCAGACTGTTTATCCAATCCGCATGAACTGAAATCTGGAAGGAGTTGCAGCTCACAAAGGAGACCAATGGCTGCTGCTGCTGTACAAGTACGATCCCAAGATGGCTGGGGCCTGCCCTCGAAACAACAGTAAAGGTTACTACTAACTTCAACTACATCATTAGGGTTTAAGGGTAAAACTTTCGAATCATAGAGTAAAAGAAAACTCAACATACAAATTGATAGAAGGGTTAGAAGCTCTGTAAAATATTTGACAGTTGTGTTTTCATCTCACCGAAGTTTATGCATGGCAGATGCACCCGGGGTCAGAGATATGCAAGGAAGGTCTTCCTCTCCCCAAACTAACTTTGCTTGTTCCTACTCATCAAACAAATTCAAATCAGAACATTTCTAAATGAAACTCCGAAAATCTTATGAAAGAACTTTGTCCCTCTATTTGTGTGTGTGGGAGAAGAAAGGGCAATTAAAAAATGTCCAGTTTCATTATTTTTCATCGTGTCAATGACATGTGGAGCAAGTTAAAGAGGACTATTCAACCTTTATTGACCAACATAACTCCTTAAAAGAATAAGATTGCCCTCATAGGTTCAGTTCCATGGAAACTGAGGGCCTCTTCTAAGAACAGTTCTTTGTTTTCTAAGAACTAAAAATCAGAAAACTATACAAAAATATAAAATAAAAAAAATGTCTTTTTTCAGAGAACTATCTTTTATAATTCAACTGAACCAAGTAGGCCCTTAGCTTCCCTTGACATTACTATCTATTGGCATACTATTATAACACTACTTAGTTAGTTGAAGTTCAGTTGGCATGATAGATCAGCAGATTTGACTGTCTAACAAAAGGTTATCGTCCTCCATATTTTCACTTAGGTCTGGAATTAATAAATCCTAATATGTTGAGCATTTTCTTTTTTGTCATATATACAAAGATGTGGTGTATGCTGCGAGTGATCGTTCTGGAGAATTAACAAATTCTAATACGTTTAAGCATTTTCTTTTTGTCATATATATACAACAATATGGTGTTTGCTTAATTTTACTCGTAGAAATATGAGCATACCAGATAATATTTTCAAAACATTGAGATAATGTTAAGTAAACTTTATGTGGAACTCATTCAAAGCTCAAATAATGTTAAATATATGATGAAAAAAAAAAAAAAAAACATCAAATGAAATGGAAGTAAATGAGAAGAAAAAATAACAATCATTATAAAAACAATGACGCGTGAAGTAGTACCTGAATATGAAATTTTCATGTTATCACAATTCATAGCAAAAGACCAAATACGATTTCAGGTTTCAAGTTACTATGTTTTCAACTTCATCATCATCATCATGAACAAAATTTTGATAAACTTCAGTAAAATGTAAGTTGTTGCAGTTATACAGTAATGTGCTGGGCATCATCCCTAAAACCAAAAGAGGCTTAAAGGGAAAAACTTAGGAATAGGAGACCAGTGGAAAGTAATCCTGATTGTATTTGGTGTACTGCATGGAAGGAGCAAAATAAGCACACATGAACAGAGATCACATACCAGTGGCTGAAAGTATGTGGCATGACAAATATAAAAATCACAGAAAAAAAGAAAAAAGAAAATAAAGAAGTGGGTTTGTCAATAATCTAAGAAGCACGGACACGGATACGGGACACGGATACGACACGGACACGGCGACACGGCAAATCCAAAAAAATTAGGACACGGACACGGTGGGGATACGGCAAAAAGTGTGTGTGTGTGTGTGTATATATATATATAGATATGATGTAGTACTTTAAAAATTACTGAGTGTTACTATTTTTCATCAACCTCACAATGAAAAAAAAACATAAATCATAAATCATAACTAATAAACTATAAAAGAACAATGTTGCGGAGTTATAAAACCAAATAAAAAGCAAGACATTAGAATAATAACTAGTATCATTTAATCATCATTGCAACTTTACTCCAAATACAAAAGTATAGACAGAAAGGACTATTAACATTCATGATTGTTTAACATTCAGGACTTTACTGTTAGCACTTAACATTCACAAAAACCTAAAGGCTAGTCCCCAAAAAAGATACAAAAACAAGTCAGTGTACTATCATCTATTCCATCCATCATTTGACCTAGGACTTTTACCATTTACAATACTAAAAGGGTAGTATAAAAAAAAAAAACAGAACACATCAGCAAAAAAAAAATTTCCAGACACGCGGAGTGTCCGAGCCGTGTCCGAAAATTAAAAAAAAAAAAAAAAATTCCAGACATGGTTTTTGGTGTGTCCGACAAGTGTCAGGGCATGTCTGACACGTGTCGGACACGGATTCTTCGCCCATTTTGGAGTGGCCATGCTTCCTAGTCAATAATACACGGGCACCCCCATCTATTCAAAATGCAGTATAGTGAATAATAAGAATTGGAAAAATTTCCTCACAGTACTACCTTTAAACGCCTGAACATTGCAGCGGAATTGTTCCATGTACCGTCAATCAAAACAAAATTCAAAGTTTCATCTTCATTTGTCTGCAGCAGAGTCAACATGAAAATTACCATTCTGTAGAAATGAAACCCAAAAAAAAAAAAAAAAGAGAGATATTCCAGATTAAGTGAAACTGAACCTACAGTACAAAGCAAGAGTCTATAGAAACAATTGAGATTGTTTCTAACGCACAAGGAAATTAATCTGGTTTGGATTATTACACTTTTGCTAAAGAAAAAATGTTTGCTTTCTTCAAAGTTATTATAAGTAACAACAAATTTATTTTTGTTATCACAACAGATTGAATTAGTTCGAAAAATAAAAAGGTACTGTTGTTATTAGATTTATAACATTGTGATGAGGTGTAAAAGTAATCAAGTCTTCCAATCCACTTTGCAACTTTAGAAGGACTGGTGTGAGGGCACACTAGCCCAACCAATTAACACCACTAAGTTTATGTTATCAATAAAAAAGGGAAAAAATAAATAAATTATCTCTCTTATACTGCCTAAACAAAGCAGTCTTAAGCAGCCCTAATTTCCTGATTCTTTAATCTAGGCACCTGAACTTAACATATTTCAAGTAAATTATATTTGCAAATGTGTAGACAACAGAGTTTATAAAATGGTACCATCTTTGGTGAGCATTTTGGACTTGTAGAATGGTCTCCCGTGAAGCTTTCCTGAACAGACTTTGTCGGTGAATTCTTATTGGGATAAAGACACCAAACCTTATCTTTTCCTGAAAAATTGGAGCACGATCATATCAGAAACCTGCCATCCCATAGGTTTCAGAACTAAGAAAATAGAGATTACTTGAAAAGATAGTCAGTCCAAGTGTTCAAAGTATGAGAAAGAAACTATATATATATAAACACTTGGCTAAATAATCAATGTCAACAATTACATTCCGACATCCAGCTGCATAAGAAATTCCAATTGCTGATGATTATTACATTAACCATAGCAAAGACAACTTCAACATATTACAAATTCAATGTGCACTCCAAAATTACTATAACCTATTCTGAAGTTAGAAAATCACATTATTTTATGCTTAAATGAAATGAATATGTCTGGCATACTAAGACAGGAATCAACATCAAATTTTATCTCAAGAAATATCCCCAGGATCTCCACATACTCTCAAATGAGTTTTACAACTCGTGTGATGTGTTTTAAAGTTATCAGCAATCCACTGGTAGGCACCACCAGTTACTGTAAATTATTAACTTCTCAATAAACAAGAAGAAGGTGGTAGCAAGAATATAGTACAATGCCAACATAATATATTCCTTGTTTTGCACCTAGACAAGCCAAAAGTCTACCTATGAAAGACGAGACACCCTCTTGTACCTTTTGAGCAGTTCATGTTGTATGATTACTAATGCCAAGCATACATGCATGCATTTTAGTATATGCCATCTACCAATCCTTGATAAGATTATATACATTAATTTGTAACTTTGTCATGCAAGAAGAGAAAATGCCTTGTGCAGAAGGATTGATCAGCTAGCATTTTAGATTTAAGCCAACTTGGCCAATGAATCCGTGTTTAAAATGAGTAGGAGAACTCATTACAGTGACCTTGTTGGGTCAATTATCTAAAACTGATAAAATAAGTCAACCGATTTCGTGTAAAGAATCAATACTTCTATAGCAGGCTCTTCTGATTTGATTCATCATTGAGCAAGTTGTTCCCTAGCTAAAGTAAATTATACAAATACAAATGGAAACCTGAAAGCTTGAATGCATTCCACATGATTTCTTCATGTTCAGGGATGCCAAACAAGCACAAAGTTGCAGCTTGAACACCAAATACTTGCCATAACAGCTTTCCCGTGTTGTTCTGCCGTAAAAAATCCTGTTGAAATGAATGCCAATAAACGATCCTTGAAAGGTGTTATGTGAATCAGGGAAACTATTACTTGAATTGCGTTTGAACCTTTGGATGCATATACAACCAGAAGCGCATGCCATTCCAAAGAGAGCAGGGCATGATTTCTGAACACATACAATCTTCCAGGGGAAGCCAGCACTGGAAAATAATAAAGATCTCATCAAATAGAATGATGAAAGATATTGTTGAGTGTGAAACCATGAACGGGGATAATCCTCATCTGCAGTGCATAAAACTTAATTTGTTCTAGGTAAACATCAAAGAAGTGACAAATAGAACGCTAACTGCAATTTTACAAAGGAAACCACATGCCTTCTGACAAAGGTAACCCCTACTTCCAAGCAAGCGGCAAGCTATTTGTCGAGCAGAGAAAAATTGGAACTTCTTGTCAGAATCCCCTAAAGCCTGATATTTTGCTCTGTGTTTTTTATCCTCTTGAATCTTGAAGTCTCCCTGGAAACAATCATATAAGATCAAATTAAAAGATAAAAGCGGCCAATGGGTCCATGCCCATTGCACCATAAATAGCAGGCAAAACTTTAAACATAAAAATCTTAAAGTGAAATACAAGTTGAGAGAGGAAAACCTCCAATTTGAAAATGAAAATGGGTAATGAAAGCAGAATCAAGAAAGAACGGGAATCGGGGGGCGAAGAGCTGGTGTTTGGCTATAAGCCTTTGTGCAATTTGAACTCCTTTACATTGATTTTACCCCTGGTGTCAGCACATGAACGTCTTGGGAGGAGCCACGCACAAAATGAAATATCTACTCCAACTTTTCTTCAAAATCTTCATGGATTGTTTCATGAATTTCTTATTATCAGAAGTTAAATGCCATACATAAATCTACTGAAATTTACAGAAACCCCACCAATCAAAGCCATCTTAAATTCTAGCCTTTTTTTTTTTTGATGGGGGAGGGGATGCATACATTATGTCACTATACATTCAGTACTCTGAGCCTCATACACAAACTCAATAAAAGAATCTATCAACAAGGAAGAGCTCCCTAATATCCAATACCCCGTCAAAAGATCTCTGATTCCTCTCACCTCAAATACACCAACAAAAACATAAAGCCGCCTGCCGGACTGCCCAGACTCTCCTTCCCACTCTATAACCCCTCTAGGTAGCTAGCATTTCCCTACCAATCAAACAGAAAGTACGTCCAATAAATCTCTTAGTACCGGAGCAGACAGATGACTGACCATCTCATCATCCCTTCTGCACATACAGCACCAACTAACTATTTGTTTCTCCTCTTCAACAAGTTGTGAAAGATTAAAATCCTCCTAAGAACAATTATCCACCCGGAGCTTTCATATGCTAAATAACCTTTCAAGGGATTCCTTCATGCCCACCTCCCTTACCACTTCAAAAACCCATTTTGACAGCACTCACATCAAAAGCATCCTCACTCCCTCCACCACCACTTCATCATACGGACTTCACCATCTCATCCAACTCTCAATGCTATACTTCTCATATGAAAGAGGATTTCCCACACCACACCACCCTCTGTAAACCTCAGACAATCCAATGTATAGACTGAATCATCAATTAAGCCAAAATTTTGTTTTCTAAGGTACCCATTGATTAACATACATTATTCAGATTCTAATATCTTCCCTCTTTTCACATTTTCTCAGCCACCAAACACAAAATTAGAACAAAATTTCACACACAAACCAAATAAACAAAGCCCACAAAACAAATACTGTACCACCAGTCAAACACACAAGTCTATATATATACACACACACATACAGAAGAGAGGAAGTGAGACGGGTTTGAATAATTTACCTGGAGTTTGCCACCAAGGCCACCAAAAGTCATCTGGGCATCGCTGTCTCTCTGCAAAACCTTCAAGTCCTCAAGGATCTCTGCAACCATGGCGGGTAGAGGGGAAGTGGTCCCCCAACCCTGCCATTCTTGGAGGCTGATGGTCGTGGCATCACCACCGTCCAGTCTTTGAACTTCTCTTGGAGGAGAGAGAGAGGACGACCTTGAGAAGGTACGGCTATGGAGGTGAATTATGGATCGCGAGTCCATGAGGGTTTTGTTGCAGAAGGTAGGGTATAACACTGAACATTTCAAGCTCAAGGCCCTGATACCGGAAGAGAGCATTGTATTGGTATTGGTGGTTTTGTTATTTTAGTTTGTTAGACTCTCTACTTGACCATTGACTGTTAATGTGAATTGGGTTTATGAAAGTGTTGTGGTATGTGTGTTCCAGGTCAAGCCCAGCCCAACCCAACCTTAGAGTATGTTCATTTTCACATGTATGAAATGGATTTGGTTTTGGTTTTTTTATAAACATGTGTAATAGGCCGACGTTTATCATCCGACTTAAAAATTTAAACTGATCTAATACAAGTTCAGATGAAGTTGTCTATTTATTCTTATTAATTCAAGACTTTCTCCATTCGTATCCGAAGCAGAAGAGTAAACTCATTTTCGATTAAAACACTTGAGTAGAGTTTGGGCAAAATTTTATTTTGTTTATATTTTCATGACTAATACAAATTACAATAATTTATATTTGTTTATGTTGTTGGATCACTTCACTCGTGTGATTTTATTGAAATTATTTTGTTACTGATCAGGACAACTAAATATGATGAGCTGAGAGGATCTCAAAGGGGAGTATTGAACTCGGACGTTTTGAGTTTAGCTTTCACAAGACGCAAAAATATCATGTTTTAAATAATATGTGTGGTTTCAAGTATTCGAGGTTTACCTTGTAACCATAAATCTAATGAATTGGTTGAAAACAAAAAAAAAGAAAAAAAAAAACGGCTCAACTAGAAAAGTTCATTTGTAAGCCCATTTTTTTTTAACTCTTAGAAACAACCTCTATCTCTTATTTCCAAAAATAAAAAAATAAATCCTATTTAATAATCAGACGTATTAAATTATTAATAATGTTATTAGTTGACATATTACATATAATAAATGTAGTTTTTGTTCCTTCAATTTATTTGAAAAATAATATTATTAATAATAAAAAGTCCATTACTATTTAGTAAGTAGAAAATCCTCGTCATACATATAACATTTTATTTTTTTAATTTCCTTTTATTTTTAAAATTTAAACCCACACCAACCAAGGGGTATACAAATATATACAGTAGTATTAAATAGGCTAGGTTGGATGCAGGGGTTAGCTCAATTTATATTCAAATAATCAAAATTAAAATTCAATCCATTAACATATATATTTGAATAATTGAAAAGACAAATTTCGTTGGTAACATTTTATGTTTGCTAGCTTTTGCCATGCAAGTTATACGACATGAGAGGTCAGCTTTCAAACTCACAGTCAATCCAGTTTTTTATAAATTAGTTGCTTAACATTCTTTGATTACTTACAAATTGTTACAATACATATATATATATATATATAACACACACTAAAAGCTATGGATGTACGGAGTATTAAAAAAAAAAAAAGTGAAATGCAAAGAAAATGTTTTTAGTAACAATAAAATGGCTGCTGTACGGTACAGTATTACAACTCCTACATTCAAAGCTTTGAATCAACAGCTACTCTTCTTCCCTCCATAACTAACTTTCTCTTTTTCTCTCTTCTCTCTCTCTTAAATTGGATCTCTCAGCAATTCAATTTCGCCATTCTTAATTTCTTTCTCTCTGTTCAATGGCTACAATTCTCAATTCGCTTACTTTTCCTTCTTCTAAACTCCGGACGGTCCTCCATCCTCCGCCAACGGTGGCCCCACCGATCTCAAATATCTCCGCCGGCCGTTCCTTGCCGGAATTCACTGGGTTGAAGATCCAGTCATCTTCAAAGAGATCTTTATCTTCGTTGAATTCGAGGAAGCCTAGGGTTTCTCGCTGCGTTGGGGACATCGTTTGCGAAGCTTCACAGACCGCTCTTGATGGTTTGCTTCTTCCCATTTTTTTTTTACTCTTCTTTTTATTTTGATTAAAAATGTCATACATATACTGTTATACATGCGTGTTTGAATTTTAAGCAACTAGTATTTTGATACGTCTAAACAAGAACAATTTATTTGGTTATTTGTGATCTCATTGTGAAACATGGTTTCACGATCAATTTGTTATTTTTTTTTAAAGATGTCAATTTTGACTGAGATGAATCAAATTGATATTGATGTTTCAACTTAATCGTTTAAACAATTGTTGTGTCACTTCCCTTTCAAATTCAATCCATTGCTGCTCCGTGAGCAAGATACCATAATAGAATTTCCCATCCGTTGCCTGAAAAAAATGGCGCCAGTCCTTACCACCAATTGAATATGTTCACCAAAGTCATGTTAGTCCTCAAACCCGGATCTTCTCTTGTGCTGTGAACAGTCTAGGTCTAGTGCATGGGAGGGTGGAGATCACCTCACAAGCAATGGGGTCCACTCTTGAGAAGGCATCTAGGTCTACTCTACTTATGGCTCCACACTTTCTCTTGATGTCCACCCTCACTCACCTGTGCACTGGACCGTCCAGGAGGATCCAAATTTGGTATTTCTCACCTAGTGAAACAAAACAACCATAAAGCTATGAACTATCCTAGCTTCATAGACATTGACATGCACCCAAGTGCACTGGGATTCCATATATAATAAAGTTTGGTGGGGATCATCTATCTAGCAAGCAAGCACTCGCCAAAATGGAAAAACTTCTAGCAAGCAATTAGTTTCTATGTTTTCAATGTATATAGGAGATTAGTAGGTTATTCACAATAAGTGACCTGAATTTTATTTGTTTATTAACCTTTTCTCATGAAGCATTGCATTTATTTAAAACTTAAATTGGGAATTATTTGACATGAAATTAGTGTTTTTAGTCATTTCTTTTGGTCACAAAGTTGCTTCCAAGTATTAGAATGTAATCTATAACTTTGCATATGATTCTATTAGGGCGGTTTATTGTTGAAGTTCAATTGAAATTCATTCTCTTGGGGCATTGTTCAGCCATGCGTCCTATTTGTTTTGTTCCTGTCTATGACATTTCAAATGACCCCCTGGTTGACTTTCAAAAATGCAGTTCCTATTGTGACTGATGTGACATGGAACTCACTGGTCCTCAAGGCTGATGGCCCTGTGCTGGTCGAGTTCTTTGCGTCATGGTGTGGGCCATGCCGTATAATTCATCCAGAGATATGTGAACTGTCAAAACAATATGATGGGAAGCTGAAATGCTTTAAACTCAACACTGATGAAAGTCCATCAATTGCAACCCGATATGGGATCCGAAGCATCCCTACAAACGTGATCTTTGTCAACGGGGAGAAGAAAGATGCAGTTATCGGTGCTGTGCCTAGAAGCACTCTGGCAGACAGCATTGAGAAGTTCTTGTAGATTTGGGTAAGTGAATGTGCCTTCACAAGTTTTCGCTTTCTTTGATGATTCTTTGTGTTGTGAGATTTGATTCATAGCCAAGCAAATCTATAACAGTTTTGTATAGTCTTGGAAGCTTCATTTACTATGTTTGTAAGATTTGCATTGTGATTTTTGTTCTTACACAGTTAATTATTTCTAATAAGAATGTTGGCTTGTCTTAAGATTTGTGTGATCGAAAGGTGTGGATCTTAGGCAACAAATTATCTTTTTTGTCAATGCATGGTTTTAAAGATCTGGGGCTTCTTGGAAGGACCTTGGTTCCCCTGCCCCTTTATTTTTTTTCCCTTTGGTTAGATGAATACTCTCACACCTCCGCAAATACTCACTATAGGGCTCGAACCTTCAGCTCCCTTTTAGGAAGGAAAGGATATACCTCGGGTCAATGACCAGGTGGTTTGGTTTTCTCTTAAGAGCATTTCATAATTCTTCATATTCTACAATTTTTTTATTTCGACTTGCTTCTCACATGGATTCAACAAAATTTTGTGACAAAGATCTTGATTGAATTGAATCGACATTGTTGCTTCATTTTCAATTGCTCGCGTAAATATATGTTGTGGAACATAAGGCATGTTTGTGGCAGAGTTTAATCCTTGTAGCTATTCAAGATATTGAACTATTTCATTCTTTGGAAGCAAATTTGTGCCGTGATCTTGATGGATCAACCAAAAATGTACGTTGTAGAAAACCATCATCCACCGTCTACTTGTGATCATTAAGCCTGTGTATATATTTCTAAATGTGATTGTATTGAACCAAAGAGCAGAACAGTACAGGGAAAAAATGAGGGCATACCCTCATAGTACAATATTTTTTTGAAAAGGACCATTTCCAAAAGCCTGAAGGAATGAAAATGGGCTTAACAAAAACATCCAATCTAGTATCAATACAGCCTCCTCAACCACCAGAAACCTCCACACTTCCCCAAGTTAGAATCAGGAAGAAAACATAGCCACAATACCTAGGGTTGTAGCCTAGTGATACAAGTAGGATGTCGAGAGTTCAAGTCTCCAGAGGGGCAAAGTAGGTGTGAGTGAGTTTCTTGGTCTTCTGAATCGATTACTTCTCACGATTCTTGGGGTTTACAGCTCCTAATAATGAAGCACACTCTTAAAATTACAAAGTCTGGATGTACTTGAAAAAAATGCTTTATGTCACTGCAAACAAAAACAAACTTAGTTGCGTACAGGTTGCAAGTATGAAAACATAAACTGTGTTACAGATTGAACTAATTTTCAGTTTTGTTTCAAATATGGAGGAGAAATAAGGTGTTTTAATATATAAAGTTGGAAACTTTGAATGCGAGAGTTTTGAGTTAAAAATGATCTTATTCAAGGTACCTTGGAAGTCACGAGTACTGTTTTTCTGTTTGGCTAAGGAGGAGAAATAAGGTTGTTACTGAAAAGGAAGAATTGTTTTTCTGTTTGATTGTTTTGCTAAATGTAGAAGGGATGAGATCAATCATTATCCTGACTATATGTACTCTCATAGTATGCACTTCTTGATTTCTTTTCTAACTGCTGTTGTTTTAGCAAAGCATTTGGGCATCCTTAATCAGTCACTATCTTCTGGACTCCAAAACATTTTTCTTGTTAGTTTGTTTAACCTTTGCAATGAATAATTGTTGAGTTGTGATATACCTAATTGATTAAAATACTTGGGCTTTTTGGGAAAATATACCAACATATCTTAAATGGTTAGGCAGTGAGAACCCCTTCTGACTTTTAGCTCCAATGGCTGCGGATTTGGTCTAACTTTCAACCTGCTTATATAAAGTTGGGAAACATGCATCAAATAGATGTATGATGTATATTAAACTATACATTAATTCCCATTTCCCTCTAAATAATTGATAAATGAAAAACAGTAGATAATTGTTGGTTTTGACCTCTAATTTTGATTAACAAAAGATGTGGAAAAAACAATTTAATATTAGGGTTGCGTAGCATTGATTGCTTCTGAGTTTAGTCTTATAATTCTAATTTCCCTCTCCTTCCATTCCTTAGATTTCCTACCCCAGCCCTGTTGGGATTAATTTATCCTGTGCCCCAAATACGAAATTAAATTGATGCAGTTTATATATTATCGTTACAATACACTGCCATTTTAATTGTCATAAGTTAGCTGTAGACTAAGACAATTAGTATCCTTAAATCTTTAATACACAATTATATTCTGGTTCTATCTTAGAAGGATTAGACTTGTCGGTTGAGAGAAAGCGAAGACCTCACTAGATTTTCACGATGTGTTTTTGGAACAACACAGGGAAAGGATCAGTGGATTGAATAGGGGAAGTAGATACCAAACTTGCAGGACATGGAAAGATACCGAACAGGTGCTACACATCTTCGAGATGTATCTCGAATATGATGTGATGATAATTAAAAAAACAGAGTGTCCTCTATTTTGATACATATTACACTTTTTTTTTTTTTTTTTAAAATTTTTGTTGAGGTATTAGCATAAATAAGTTATAGTTAAATTAAGAAATGATGCAAACCTCAACAACAATATTTAGTTTGCTTGCTAAATCCTATAATCTCCATCGGCTGCACAAGATGACTTTTGACACACAACAAATGAGATAACTGTGTAAAAGTACAGAACAGATGTCTTCCCTGTTGTGATGAGGATCTCATATACAGCATACATCTGTAACAAAATTATCACATTTTGCATTTTTGTTCTGTCTCTCCATAAAAAATGAAGAAGTAAATTTTGGACACTGAGGGATTTGAACCAAACAACATTTAATTGACTTTAATGTATGATTGTAGATTTGTCCAATTACAAAGTAATTAATTTATTAGTATAAAATAAAGAGTATTGCTCCAAAGAGGTCTCTCTTATGAGAAGATGCACCAGCTCTCCTAATTTTTAACTTAGATGTGTTAAATAGTAACTTATTTGACTTTTTCACATCTCAAAAAACTGTTTCATCCAATAGTTAAATAGGGAGAGCTCGTGACTCTTCTCATGAGAAGGACTTCTTAGGAGCATTTCAAAATTTAATCCTCCTTGTTAAATGTGTGGTTCGACGTGAAAAAAGTTAAAACTATGCAAAAAAACAGAGTAAAAGTTTTCAAGGTCCCAACTGCGGTTTCTTCTAAGAATAGCATTTCAGAATTCTTCACGTTTGTTCTTCCAATGTCCATTCACCACCCAATTTGGAACCACTTTCAGTCTATTTGCAACTTCCAATTCTACCCTTCATCCTGGCAATCTGTTGTCTCTTGGGCTTCAACTTGGACTCACCACACTCTCCATCTATCTCACAAACTATTCCTAGCAGCTAGCATGCATGCCATTTGGACAGAAAGGAACAGTAGAATCTTCAGGGACAAGGCTTCCACAATATTCCTGCTGCTTTGATTGCTTGTAATGGTTCTCTGCTCCTTTCCTAGGCATGTACACATTGTTGATACTCTAGTGTTGTAATCTCTTTACGGAATCATAGTGGAATCTTTTCTCATCCATGATGTAGGCCGGTTTTGACTAAACCACGTTATATCTTGTGTATGTGAGTGATTACTTTGTTGGCTTTCATTGGATCTTTGTTATTCGAGCGATTTCGTTGCCCCAACAACTGTGATCTTGATGGATCAACCAAAAATGTATTAGAAAACCTATTTTTTCCCTCCTAAATGTGGTTGTATGCCACGATGGTACAATGTTTTTGAATAGGCCCATTTCAAAAAGCCTGAAAGAATGAAAACTAAAATGAAGATGGGCTTTAACAAAAACATCCAGTCCAGTCCCAAGCAGCATTAATCAGGAAGAAAACATGGCCACAAAAATAGTAGTATGAAATTCAACTTAGTCATGATAAGCCCCCTATATTTGAAATTATTAAAGTTGGATATACTTAATTACAAAGTCGGGATGTACTTCAAAAAATGCTTTACGACATTGCAAATAATAATAATAATAATAAAAAACCTAGTTGAATACACGTTGCAAGTGTGAAAATATAAACTAGATTGAACTAATTTTCAGTTTTGTTTATTTATTTTGGAGGAGAAATAAGGAATTTTTTCGGAGAAAAATGGTAGTTACTGAGAAGTAAGAAATTTGCTGTCTCAACTTCTATTAGAGAGAAGAATTTAAGACTTGATTGTTAATCTTTGGTTGTTTTTCTAATCCATTGTTGCTGTATATATTTATTCAGTCTTATTATTATTATTATTATTTTTATTATTATTAAGAAGTAGTAATTGGTAGAATTAATTCTTCTTTGTGGCTTTTCAAATATCATTGACCTTATATTTAAGGTTTGAGCTTGATAATTATTCTTTTTATTTTTTAATGGCATCATCTATTGTATAATATTGATACTTCCACTTTCTCTTTCCTTTTCTTTTTATTTTTAGACAATTTTGTTTCCTTTTATGGCTGTTTCTGAGACATCACTGGACTTCAGTAAAATGCTACACTTTTTAATTACCAGCTAAACTTCTAATCTTCATATATATATATATATATATATATATATATATATATATCAGTGGTATAATTGCCTAAACAATCCTTTGCAAACATGGATTGACAGCCTTTTCACATAGTATGAAAAAGAGGTTATTCTGGCATCACAAACACGAGGATTTATATATTGATATGTACAAAATAGAGAGTAGATCAAATGAAGACGATGAATTCTAAGGCTTAGTTTGGCATAATTGGAACATGAATGTAGCAGTTATATACTGATGTTATTGATGTTGGACGTCCCATTGAGAAATCAGGTTAGTTTCAAACTTGAGGTCCATCAATAAATGGGTTATTATTGTGAAATGTCAACTATCAGCAAGTTGCTTCCTTGGATTGCGGTTTAGCAGCCTTTCCTTTCCAATTTGTGGAGACTAGATTTTCCTAGGAGACTTTTCTAGCTAGAATCATTTATTAAAGAATAGAGAGTCTTATGCGAGTATTGGATGATGTTATCGTGACATCATATATGTTAATGACATCATGATGACGTCAATCCTAAATCAGTTGGAATTGTCAGACTTTCGAACTTCGAATCATCACTCTTTATTACCAGTCATTGTCTTCACAAAAAACTTTGAAGAAAACTGAAAACTGCACAAATAAACTTTGTTTGGTTCAGTTTTCTGAAATTTCAGTTATAAAAAGGTCGGTTTTCAAAGAACTGTCTTTTATTGTTCTCTGAAA